AAAAAAAAAAAAAAAAAAAAAGAGAGAAGCAACACTTGCTAGGTAGCCCAGTTGAAATATGAATTAAATAAATTGGAGTAAGTAAGTCATTTGACTCTGAATAATGTTGGTGGGAAAAGAGAGTAACAGGTAATCAGTTCATGAGAAGACTGAGTTTTTATCTCATTTTCTGTCTCTAGGAGAGAAACCTTTCCTTTGTGAAGCCCAAGGATGTGGCCGTTCCTTTGCTGAGTATTCTAGCCTCCGAAAACATCTGGTGGTTCACTCAGGTATCAGAACCTTTGCCATTCATAGATTTTAGGAAAAGTAGACAAAAGAATAAAAGGGTCCTGGAGTGATGTAAAGAAATTTAAAAATAAACAAGCCATTTGCTATAAAGATAGAAAGCGTCTCATCATCATGGTGGAATCATAAATCAAGGCCCTTAATTCTTATAATCAAGGGGGACATATAATTATTTTCAGCTGCATTTCTAATCCAGCCCCTTTTTTTGAATAGATCAGCAAATTCGTTTGGCACTCTGCTGGGTGCTTTATAAGTTATATGAAACATGGACCCTCTTTAGGAATTGACATTTGTATTCTTGGAAAGGATTTCGTATCAGAAGAAAGTAAAGACATTGATATAAGTTGAAGAAGCACCAGTAATATTATTGCCTTCTGAGCAGGTGTTAGTGATCCTGCTTGAGACACCATTTTGGCAGAAACCATGCCTTTGGCAAGTAGAACTACAAACCTTATCATTGCAGATGTGGAGAAGAGACAGGAGTAAGATTTAGTGACCTGTTTTCTGTTGGGAGCCTTAAATTAATTCCCTGCAGTTTGTCCGTTTGCTCACTCTGTGCAGATATGTCTCATCCTCTCAACCAGAAGTCAGGTACAGCCCAGGGAAAAACCCTGTATCTTGTTAGAAGGATATTTTCCTATAGGACATGGTGATTTACTTTGAAAACAAGTCTGAGAATCTAGTTTAAGAAGGGCCTAGAATGCTAGGAAGGAGAGTTTATGGAGCCTACTGGAGGTACAGTCTGATTAGAATCTGGCCTACTGAAGATTAATCTGGCAATGATGCAGAAGCGCTAAACTATAACAGGAAGAGATAAGACTTTTTTTCAGTCTGGTCAAGAAGTCTGCTCCATTGTAGTGGCAGGGAGCATGGAAAGAGACCCAGTCGAAGAATCTGTTCAACTCCACAAATGGTTGGCTATAAAGTGATAGAGAAATGGAGGCAGCAGGTGAGGATTATTGATTCAAGAAGCATGGTAGCTCACGCCTGTAATCCCTGTACTTTGGGAGGCTGAGGTAGGTGGATCACGAGATCAGGAGTTTTGAGACCAGCCTGACCAACATGGTAAAACCCCATCTCTACTAAAAATACAAAAATTAGCCGGGCTTGGTGGGGGGCACCTGTAATCCCAGCTACTCAGGAGACTGAGGCATAAAAATTGCTTGAACCCGGGAGATGGAGGTTGCAGTGAGCTGAGATCACGCCACTAGGGGGCACTACAGCCTGGGCGACTCCGTCTCAAAAAAAAAAAAGTGATAGTGAAGATAAGGAGGAAAAGGGGGGTTTCCAGTTGTCAGGCTGACTCATTTATTTATAAGAGGGGTTAGAAAAGTGTTGGATGATGAGTGCTAGAGGGGGTCTGTAGACTAGCCTTGTATGCTTGTTGGAATTCCTGGCACGCAACAGGTTTTTATAATTTGTTGATTGAGTGAACCAATTAGAATGAATAAATAGATAGCTAAGTAGCAGTGAGTGAGGACACAGCTGAGAGTAAGTAGCTTAACTTTTTTTAGTAGACCTGTTCAGATTTTATTATTTTTCTCTACTGCTGCTCATCAATTTAAAAGCTGGACACTGGAGAAAATAGGTGACAGAGGTTAATCAGAGTGAGGCTTGCCGAGGAAGAGATGAACTCAAGGAGGAGAGGGATTCTAGAATGTAATCAGGTCATTGTTGAGTGGCCATGGGAAACAAGGGGAAGCCAGAACATGTCAAGTGGAGAGGAGGAACTGGGAGTTACTTATGAGGAAAGCAAGCTACTGCAGCATGAACAAGGATGTTGGACAGGTATAATCAATCAGGGATGTATATTTCAGAGTTGAGATTTTAGGAGTGGAGCAGCTTTTTAATAGGATGAGAAGTTCTAAGCAGAAGTGGCAAACTAGTATCCTTTAGGCTAGATGTGGACCTCAGATGTGTTTTGCTTGGATTGTAGTGTGTTTTTATTTTACTTTACTATGTAAGATTACATGAAAGATTCACAAAAGTAGAGAAAATAAAGATTTTTCTTATATAGCAACAGTGCTGGTATACCTATCAAAATTAATACTTCCTTGGTTTTCTCTTATAATCAATCCATGTTCAGTTTTTTCTACTTGTCTTGAAAATGTCTTTTAAAGTTGGTTTGTTTAAATCAGGATCCAACAAGGTCCAGTATTATACTTGGTTATTAAGTCTTTTAAATCTAGATCTTTCTACATGGAGTTTTTTGTTTTTGTTTTTGTTTTTTCCCCATAGAGTTGTTGCAAAACAGAGTCAGTTGAGTTCTATAGAATGTCCCACATTTTGGATATGTTGGTTTGCCTCCATTTATGTCATTTAACTTGTTCCCTTACATTTCCTGTGAATTTAGTAAGCTCTAAAAGCTTCAAAGTTTGGAAGTTTTGTGCAAGAATATGTCAGAGATGGTTGTGTGTGCTTCATTTTGTATCATATCAGGAAGCTCACAGTGCTTGGTTGTCAGAATTGATCCATGAGTTAGTTCAGCTGGTAACAGTCTGATCCCTGTATTGTAAAGTTCCCTATCAACCTTTCTGCCTTTTTTTTTTTTT